GGGACACTTGCTTTGTGTTAATATACCTTTCTAATTGGATGAAATCCGTTTGATGTATATACATTGAGCACCACGAGTGTTTCACGTAGGAAGTTGTAAATATTATTGTGTAATAAATATTTGTAGTTAATTTCACCTTTAACTAAGACTTCGTTTCAGTCTATACTATATGTATATAGATAGGTGTTATGTCCGTGTGGTTATTCGGCTTAAATAACATATCCCTAGACAGAGTGCCAAGAGGAGATCTCATACGAGAGACACTCCTCTCTAATAAGTCATAAGTCAGATCACCACATTGTCATAAAAAAGAGTACTTTTGATTTAAAAAGCATACACTTTAAGGAATTATAAGAAAATCCTACTAAAAATAGGGACACCAAGTTTACAATTTTGTGAAGTTAGAGAAATGTTAAATAAAAGAGAGAATTTTTTTTTTACAAATGCAGTGTACTGTAGTCCAGGTTTGAAAACATTTGGTGTTGAATCCAAAAATTTGACACTGAACTTGTTCTGGTAAAATTTAATTACACTGCTGCCATTCAGCTTGACACCTGCACACCAAAAATAAAACTTATTTAAAAACATAAACAGGTAGAATTTGAATCTTCATCAGAAAATATAAATTAGGCTGACATTATGCTCATTTAGTGACATGAATTGTTTTACATTGTATATTATATAATATGTTGGTCAAAACTGTATTTTTAAAACTTAAAAAGAAGATAATAACTAACACCTACTCCTCTTATCTTTCTTATGTATATCCACATTTGGTTTTACCTTTGAAATTTTTAATTATCCTCACACAGTAGTTATAAAACATATTTAAAAGTTTAAAATGAAACTATTTATGGACAAAATAAAATTAATTAGAAATATATCAATATTTAACTGCAAAGAACAGAGAGTTTGAAATTGACTTTATCTTGTGGAATGTAATTATTTAAGCAAAAGAAACAAGGAGCTTTATCACAAATTCTACTTTTTGGCTTGTAATGACTCATAATAATTAAGAAAATTCACCTGTTGATGCCTCAGTTACAAATGCTGTTATCCTTGCCTCAGAGTTATCATAAATACCAACTACCCTTTGGATGTCTTCTTTAGGAATTGTAAATGAGCTCTCTCCATTTATCTGAAAAGCAAATTAAATTTTTTTTTTTTTTGCCATTCATAATATGTATTAGAGATAAAGTTTATCTGCCATGTTCATTATTATTATTAGAAATTTCTTCTCTTTCGGTCCTGCTAAAAATTTTCCAGCTATTATAAATAATGTTTTTAAAACACATTTTTTTTTGTAGTCCTTTGTATAAAGGTGACTACAACCTCCTTTTTTGTCAAATGAAGAAACATTAAAAATCTGATCTGACAAATAGGATTATATGTTATTATGATATTAATCAAATTATAAGACACCAAACAGTTCTGTTTATACTTAGTGATTAACTAAGTCTGTATAGAACAAAATATTTTTTTTAAATGTTAAATGTTATTGTTAAATAATCTGTATCTTTTTTTAAATTTTAATGTCTTTTATGATTGTAGGACCATTCTTCTTTATTCAATTAATGATCACCTCAAATGCAATCTGTGTTGTTTGGACCTGATTTCTTCCACATTCATTTGGGCGTAGGTGAACATTTCGGCCAACATGAAGTTCCACCATACCTGCAACAGGCTGACCAAATGTGTACCTGAAAGATGGAGATACAAGGAAGAAGTTAGATGATGTAACATCATTAGTTCATGAAATAAGGGAAAGACGCATTTACAGAAAGATTTAAGATCAATGAAATGACAGAGGGAAAATACATTTAAAAATTTATATTGTCACATTCTTTATTTTATGTCTTAAAGTTTAAAATAATAGTCTATAACAGCCAATTTTATTTACAATATTTTTCAGGTTTATGAAACAAAAAAAAGAAAGGATGTCTAAAAATTATCATCTGCTACAAAGATTTATATGCAAGTTCTTCAGTGAGTATTTGTACTTTCAATTTTCCTAGGGAGTTTTAAAAACGTCATGACTAAATTTCCAAATAGTTATTTTGTGTTACGCTTTTATGTTATATTTTACGCAAATACAATTATGGTCTATTTTCTTTACAACTTCTTAATATGCAGTAAAATTAATTACACGAGTGGCTAACACTATCAAGCAGAAAAATTCATCCATTTGAAAAAAAAATTAAAATAAAAAATATATGTTTGACTAATTGTATGGTTATATGAACTAATTTTTTATTAAAATACATATAATATATATTATATATCTATATATATCTCTATATATCTATATATCTCTCTCTCTCTCTCTCTATATATATAGGTCTATATATATATATTTATTTATATATATATATATATATATAAATATATATCTATATATATATCTATATACATATATATATATATATATATCTTTAGTTTATAATTATATGAGTGTTTTTTGTTGTAGTGATGAAGGCTTAATTAAAGCTTAACCTATATTTACACAAATTGTTTAACTCTCATTGATCTAATTAAAAGCTTTATCACACCCTACACTCCAACATGCTTTAGCAGTGTTTTCTACTTTCTGGGCTTGTGTTTCAACTTTCCACATACATGACTAAGCAAACTATCACAACAATGAAAAATAAATAAACATTTTTAACAAAAATTAAATATTATTTGAAAAAATATTTTCATAAATGTTTAAAAAATAAAAATATATTTCTTTAGAACTACATTAAGCAAAAATTATGTCTATGGCAAGGCATTGCAGTATTTTATTTTACACTATTAAATTTTTATTTGGCTAATAATCCAATCTTTAAGTTTTGGTTCATTTCACTGCTCTAAATATTTGATCATTAATTTAAAATTGCTTTCACACTCAGACTCAGAAAATTAGAGGAAATGAAGTGGCCAAATCTAATACAAATTCATAGTTTATTTTCCAAGTGCAAGCAGCATCCTTAACAAATGCTACCTACTTAGCTTTAACTTTTCCGGTCAGGACTGAGTCTTCGACCAAACCATAGGGAGGTAATTCAACAATCACTTCAAATCTTGGCAAATCTGTTTGAACAATGAAAGAAAGGGTTTCTTTTGAAAAACAAAAAGAAATTTGGTAAAACATGTTGGCATGCATCATAGCTGATGTTTTTATAATAAAACATGCAGAATAAAATGTAGCATAAACATTAGTATTCTAATCTTTCACTTACCACACTCAGCTACTTCAAAAGACTGGAACGCACTGTCTGTGAAGTCCTTTAGAGAAAAAATATAAAGATATATTTAAATCATTTTAAAATGAAAAGACGAAACCCCATCACTGATTTAATCCAAGAGATATATAAAGAAATATTGTTCTATTTTCCCTCTTGATCGTCTCTATTTCTCGATAAACTATTCCATACCATACCCTTCCAATACTTTATTTGAGCAGTAAACTTTGATTGAGTATTCTCCCTTTGGTAACTTTTTCTCTATCATATCAAATTGTCTGTGACATTGATAATTGATAAAAGCATTTTTTTAAAATTCTATGGTAACAAATACCTCAAGAAATGCACTAATACTCCATGTACCAAATTGGGGTTGGTAACTCAGTTCAATGCTTCCTTCAACAACACCTGATAACCCTTGCAAACCTTTGAAGATCTTAATTTTGTTACCACTTGGGTCCTAAAAATAATTTGTTTATTAAACTTTTATGGCATATTTAATTATTTGTTTGTAAATTAGCAGAAAGTAACAGAGATTTAAGGAGTGATCCATTAATAACGTCAACAAAATAGGGGGAGTGGGGATGGAAAATGTTTAACATTTGTTGATGGGGTGAGGTTGGGGGGGGGGGGAATAAAATGACATAAAAAAAAATTCTTTCTTTGATATATGTTTTTAATAATTGTAAAGAAAATAGGGGGAGTGGGGATGGAAAATGTTTAACATTTGTTGATGGGGTGAGGTTGGGGGGGGGGGAATAAAATGACATAAACAATAATTCTTTCTTTGATATATGTTTTTAATAATTGTAAAGCGCTTAGAGCTTTAAGGTAAGCACTATATAAAAATGCCTAAATATATAAATAAATATATAAAAATAAATCATTGCCTAGAAGATTGTTGCAAAATATTTATTGAATTTTAGTGTTTATAAAATTCTTCAAATTTCAAAAGGTCAGACCAGCACCAATATTGTGCCTAAAAAAATTTATCATCTGCTCCAACATAAAAAAAATTTCAAAAGACAGGCAGAGGTGATGGAAATTATTGCTCACAGAGAAAATACTGTTATTTGAAGCATATATAAAATAATGAGCTATCCTGACGTAACTCCAAAGAGCAGAAAAGATTTAAGTATGTTTGGATTCCAAAAACAATCATTGTTATTTTCTATAATTTTACGGAAATCGAATAAATTTAAATTCGCAAAAAATATTTTAAATCCGCTTTTATTTTAGTAAAAGTTTAAGTGTTATTATTATAAATTACAAATACATTTAAAGTATAAAATAAGGTACTATTTTAAGTATTTTATATGCGTTTGAAAGTTATGAAATAATAAAAAAAATCATGATCAAAGAATTACATCATAATCACATTTATCGGGAAAACCTACACATCAGTAGTTTTTAGTGCGTCTTTAAGTGCATTGTTAATATTGTAAAATAAAATAAAAATTAATTTGTTCTAAATAATCAAGCAAATGACATACCGGGAATAGCCTATTTCGCAAAACTCTTAGGTTTCTTTAAATTTAATAACCGCGTGTGACAAAACTGATAGTGTATTTTCCCTTCTTAAAGTAAAATTCATCAACACAATTGATTGCTTTTTAAATTTTCAATAAAACACCACACAATTTTGCTTTGTATATTTTAACAGTTAAAAAGCTTTGACTTTTTTATACCAAAAATATACTTTTATTAATATTATAAAGTAATAAAAACTAACCTTTAAATATAATTCTAATAAGAAAATTTGGTCTATGTCAAGCAGTACAGCTCAACTACATAGCCAAATAGCATTCACTAATCCACTCATTCAAAAAGAACAAACCATATGAAGTGCAAATTATGTTAGTTTGAGTATGGAAGGGACTACAATCCGGTTGAAGATTTTCTAAATTTATTTAAATCTGAGTGGGGGAGGGGTTGGTTACGTTGCCCCAGGCAGCACAACAAAATAAAGGAATGAATTTTATAAATGTGTATGTATGTATATATGTATGAATGTATGTTGTTCGTCCGTCGAAGTCAACTAGGACCATCGAATCATCCGGTTAGGGGCTGGGGGGAGGGGGGTTGTTAGACCGATCCTTGCTCGGAATAGTCTATGACACCGTGGGCATGGAATAGTTGCTTCAGACGATGACCTAATGTTGCTCTTTCGGACAAGCCTGCGTGTTTCAGCTGTGGTTATTCTATTAGCTTCATGGGATTTAGCCCCCTTCTTGACAGCAGCTCTCCACCTTTCTCTGTCCTGGGCTGTCTGCACCCATTGAGTAGGGTTTATGTTGAAGGCCTTTAGTGCCACTTTCAGTGAGTCTTTGTAACACTTTTTTTGGCCTCCTTTGGAGCGCTTGCCTATCGTGAGTTCTCCGAAGAATAATTGTTTCGGGAGCCGGTGGTCTGCCATACGGGCTACGTGTCCCATCCAACGGAGCTGAGACTGCATCAGAGTGGTGAAGATACTAGGTAGGTTCGCTCTAGCGAGGACTTCGGTGTCGGGGACTTTGTCTTGCCACCTGATGTCGAGGAGTTTCCTGAGGCAGGTAGTGTGAAAATGATTCAGTTTCTTGGCGTGATGCTGGTAGACTGTCCACGTTTCACATCCATAAAGCAGTGTCGGGAGGACTGCTGCGCTATAGACCTTGAGCTTTGTTTCTCGACTGATAACTCTCCTGTCCCAAACAGTGCTGCGGAGCCTGCCAAATAGGGCACTAGCTTTTGTGAGTCTGCCATTCATTTCATCATCCATGACGACAGATCTAGAGAGGGTGCTGCCCAAGTAAGTAAATTTATCCACCGGGTTGAGACGCTGTCCACTGATGATGATGTTGGGTTCAACGTAGGGCTTACTGGGAGCTGGCTGATACATCACCTCAGTCTTCTTTGTGTTGATTGTGAGGCCAAAGTTATTGCAGGCCTCAGAGAAGATATCAACGCTGTGTTGCATGACGGCTTCTGATGGAGCATTGAGGGCACAATCGTCTGCAAACAGAAGTTCGTTGATCGTGGTATATTTGATAAATATGTAAACTTCTTGGGTACATTCATATCAGAGGTAGGAAATAGGATGTGTACATTTTTACGTGGAGGACAATATATTTTAATCCTATCGTATGACATTTGTGAAAAAAGATGCTGCATTCTCTTTTCGCAAATATGTGTATGTTGATGTTGTCCATGGCAGCATAAGATAGGTCTCAAAATAAGGGAATGAATTTGATAAATAATTAACCTTCTTGGGTACATACACATCAGAGGTAGGAAATAGGATGTGTACATTTTCACATGGATGACAATATATTTAAATCCTATGGTATTACATTTGTGAAAAAAGAGATGTTACATTCTCTTTTTACAATTAAACATATCCTTAACAATTAAGAAAATCAATGGTGTTAACAAAACGTGGGTACAAATATAAAAGTATATCCATGAATATCAAAACCCAATCATATTACACACTTAAAAAATTAATTTAGCTAATATAGAGATGGGTTAATATAATTTCCTTTTTTTTAAAAATGAAAATATATTTTTCTCTTTACTTTGCAAAAAGTAAAGAGGTGTATATTTTAATGAGATTAACCTTTAAATTATTTTAAAAAAACCTCAAGTCTGTTATAGGCGGGAAAAACGGTTGCGCAATTTAGATAAAAGAATTCTTTGTTTTACAATTTTCTGATAATGTATAATTTAAAAAAAAAAGAAAAATGTCTATAAAATTTTGGTGAACATATCAATATATATATCGAATTCCTGTAATATAAAATTATTTATATCATATATAGAGTTTTTGTTGTAAACTTACGATTAGATTTTTTAAATTTTTAGAGAAAAAAGTTGTAATTCAAGGGCATGAAAAGGGGTAAAACTTAAGTATTTCTCTAGCGTAGTAAATGTCCTTTAATTAACTTCTTTAGTGACAAAAGTGATATAATTAGTGAAAATTTAGACTGGGTAATTTAAGGTCATGTTTAGAGGGGGAAAAGGTAGTTTACGAGCGTGAAAGGGAGTACGGTAGGCGTATAATATATATCAGATAAATACATCTCAAAATGATGTTAGAAACGTAAATATCATTACATTTTTTAAGTTATACATAGTGATGAGTTTTTGCAATAGCAGTTAGAAATTATTGCAAAGGACCTACCATTATTATTGTGATAACATCAGGTCATTTTTTCTAGTTTAAAAGGTTAGACTACTCAAGGATGACATCGGCAGGTTTCATAATAATAATGTTATGGAAATTATAAATTCATTAGTTGCTTTGCTCTTTTGCCAAAGAGAAACATGTGCCAGATTAATTCGAAGATGAAAAAAACTTACATTATTTACTAACAAGAATATATTTGGACCTTATTAATTATTTAATAAACATGAATTATAAAATGGACTTTAGTCATATATTCTATTTATTATAAATAAAAATTTATTTAAGAAGTTTAAAAAATGTAAATAATTTTGTTGTCCCTCACCCATTTCTATATCACATCCATTCAAAAATATCTATATTTATTTTTAATTTGTTTATGTTTTTATGGGGGGTATCCAATTTTTTACATAATTAATTAGGGGGTTACATAAAAGTTTGAAAGTTTTTGTCAAAAAGGAGGGAGGGGTTAAAAAAAATGCCTAAACATTATTGAAATAATTAATGGACTTAATTAATCTGGCTTAATGCTATGGAATACTTGGCTTAAAAATTACAATTTTATAGACAAAATTTACCAGAATGTGAATATTAAATTTTCCTGCATACAGACTAAGGTCAGGAAAAACAGCCAGTGCCCTAAATCGTACTGTTGAATAAATAAATGCAAGTTAGTTAATATTTTACTTTGACAAAATAACAAATGGGCCTATATACAAAAATATAATTTAGAAACATATTTGAGAGATAGTAGATCTCATAATGAAGTCTTTTGAAGATTGCAAAAAGTGCAGCTTGTAATAAATTTAACATTTAAATGCTTTCAAAAGATTGTAATTCTGTAAAGTAGCCCTAAATTTAATTATTGAGTTGGTTATTATGTTATTGTTTTTACATAATTTCTAATTTTACAACTTAATAACTTTTTTTTTTTTTAAATAAAATTAATAATTTACACATTTTTTACAAAAATTAATATTGAAGCTACTAGATTTCAATTTTTTATGAAATTTTTATTTTGTAATGAACCTTTTTAGGGATCAAATTATTTAAAATTGTTTTCAATTCTTTGAATTCAATGAACTGTAGAGAATAATAGCAAAATGTATTGGTCTATAATTTATATGAAAAAAATGAATCAATACATAGAATAATTTCAATGGTTATTTCAAATGAAAAATAAAGATGGGAATTATTTATTGCATAATTTATATTACACAAGGTTTTTTAGAAGTGGAAGTTAGAGAGCACACATTAGGATAAGAAACTTCACAATTCATCCTCAAGTGAATTTATCCATCTAAGAAAGTGATTATATATATAATTTACAATGACTAAAATGAATAGATTGGAAGAAACCCCATCAACTAAAGAAAAAGTATTAGTTAAACTGTTTCCAATTTTCCTGTTATCAGAGCCCATCAAATTTGTCAGATGGGTTAATAATTTGCTATAGGATTAGTAGTGCCTCATGTTCAATAAATATTTTGTAAGGCAGTAATATAATTTATTAATCTCATTATAATAATGCTTACCTGTCTCTGTAGGTTTATAGATAGCTTTGTTTGTTTGGATTAAAATAGACACTGATCTATAACTTAGTTGCAGTGTTGTGCTTGCCTCAAACTGTAAAGGGCCTTGACCTTTAAGCCTCAGGCTACAGGTATTGCAAGTAATGTTAGCATCAATCTTTGAAATAGATTTTTAAAAATAAAATTTAATAGGTTCCCAGGGGTGAAAACATTTTTTTTAAATTCTTAGCCATACAATTCAGGAACAAAATATTGTGCTTTTAAAATTATATCATGTCCATTTAAAAATGAAGAGTAAAGCAACATTTTTATATCAAAGAAGAAAATAAAAAATCGTGAAATATTTCTCGCTGTATATAATAATATTGCTATTTAATTATAATTTGGACCAATAAAAATAAAATTTACAATAGGCTGCTTATTAATAAATTGTTGTTTTTTCATAGAAGATGGTCTTCAGTATTCTTAAATTACATACTTGTTGTAGATAATATATTAATTTTTTCATAAACCTAGATGATACAGTTTAACAAATTTGTGTATTCATTTTTACATAAGTCTTTAGGACCCCTTATGGAAATATTTATTTGAAACTTACCGCAAATGAAAGAGTTCCAGTCACACCTTCATGAAAAACAAAAAGGATAGAAACAATTTAACAAACCTCAAAATTGTTACACTTGATAAATTACATTGATCTTGTTATGGAATTAAAAAACTAATTGGACAACAGAAACTTTCTGACATTAAAATGCATTTCATGTATGGTTACCAGAATTTAAATGGATGAGGGTGCACATGATACCTCCATTTTACTTTTTGGAATGTCCTTGTATATAAAGCCTAAATACCAGATTGTTTGTGTTATGATACATTCATATTTTTGTTCATGCACAAGCTCAACATTTAGTTGTCCCAAAAAACTGACAACCATTAAAATTGTAATTATTCAATGACTTTACCTTTTATAAAATTGCCCTTCATTGTTTTTAATGTGACAACATCATAACGATTATGCACTGAATTGTAAACCGAATCCTGTAGAGAAGCCTCTACTGGCACACTCACGTTGTCCTTAAGAATGTCAATGCTTATGTCAAAGATGCCCCCACGGTAAATTGTTTGTGGGGCAGTGATGAAATAAGTTCCGGTTCTGGGTAAACAATTATTTTTCATTTACATTATACATCAATTATAATAGGAAAAAAATTGAGTATAATTTTTTTAAGTAGCTTATGGCAGATGAATGAATAGTGATCAGTTCCTCAAAAATTATATTAAGGAAATGGAATATTATTTGTGTTCTTTTAATCAAATTGACATGTCTTTTAAAAAAAAGCATATTTTTTAATATAAACTATCCTTGATTCTCTTTGCAAATTGCTTTTTATTTTGTTGCTTTTTTAAAAAATTAAATTAAAGACTAAACCAATTTTTTTTTTTTAATTTTATTTTATTTGAGGTTCGATTTGCTTAAAAAACCGACTATACAACACTGTGAGGGTCTCGTCTCCCCCTTCACCATGAATGTTTTAAAGTAGTATTAATAGTTGTATTTATACTTCTTTAAATATTTTATTAAGGCCATAAAAAGAATTGTTTTTGCCCTTCTTCACAACTCTGAAATGGCAATTTTATTTTTTAAATATATATGAGCTCCTAGTGCTCAGAGCTTACATAATTATGTGAATATACTGAAGGTGTACCAATATCAATATGTTTTTAATGAAGTGGCCACATTGATATTTATTTATTTATCTTTTAAAAATAACACATCTCAATTAAAATGATTACTCTCTAAAATACAAAATTGTGGCCATATAAAAATGGATGGGTCTCTCTTTAGCTCATTGAGCAGGTTATCTTATTATGGGTAATTTGTTTTATTTATTTGATCAATCAGATATATTTCTTGTCATGTGGGGGGCTTTATTCCAATTGATAATACTTACTCCCCATAGGCTCCTGCAAAAGACAGGAATATTATAAGCATAAGCATGCCTTGTTCCATCTCTGTGCTGAAAAGTGTTAGAAATTTTCAAAAATTAATAAAGCATGTAACCAAACATGGCAACTTTAGCCACTTCAAAGCAGTATTAATAATTAATATTAATTAAATTCAAGATAAAATATTGTTTAAAATTATTTGTTGGGTTAAACAATAGATCTTTTATCCCTGAAACCATTTATTTTCAGCAGAGTAAAAGACTTGTATCCACTTAATACACCAATGTTTGCATCCACTAACTACTATACCAATGTTTGCATCCACTAACCACTAGATCTATACCAATACTTGCATCCAATAACTACACAAATGCTTGTATCCACTGACTGTGACTGACTATACCAATGCTTCTATCCACTAATTACACAATGCTTGTATCCACTAACTAAACAACACCAATGCTTTGAATTTTGAATTCCGGATTTTTTATTCAAAGTTAAAGATTGAATTAATAATTTTAAATAAGCAGGCTCTCATTGCGTGAGGTGGAAGTTGGGTAGAAGTTGTCCACATTGCTGAACTCCACTCCAAAGTTCATATCATCAAGACTATTATTAATTAGATGGTGAAATGAGTTTTAAAACTATCTTTCCAATACAGAAAATGCAACATTCACTGATCTCTTAGTGAGTCGAGAAACGACACCACAGCTAAAAATAGATTTATTGATATCGGTTCATTTGAAATAATCTTTGAAGCAATAATAAAGCACGCTGAAATTCTCCAACACTACAATCGATAATTGATGGAATACGTGAACAACACTACTACCACTATTCAAGAATTAGTCCTATAACATTATATGAACTTGTAATGTACATATTTTTATGGATGAGAATGAGAGGAACAAGCCATTTGAAACACGATGTAAACAAACACTAGCCCCTGTCAGGGCTGCCATTCACTTTTTTAAAATTTCCCAAGATTTGGTCATGAAATTTCCCAAGATTTCCCAAGATCATAAAAGTATATAGGAATTTTTTTTAAAGGTGTGTGTGTGGGGGGGGGGGGTCCATATGTCCTTAAGTTAATAATAATTTGAATAAATGCCCCTGAAAACATTGGTACAAAAATTATAAATTGATTGAATATTTTTAAAAAGAACTTTTAAAAAAAAGGCTGCCATTCACTTTTTTAAAATTTCCCAAGATTTGGTCATGAAATTTCCCAAGATTTCCCAAGATCATAAAAGTATATAGGAATTTTTTTTAAAGGTGTGTGTGTGGGGGGGGGGTCCATATGTCCTTAATGTAATAATAGATTGAATTAATGCCCCTGAAAAACATGGTACAATAATTAATAATTGACTGAAATTTATTGAAAAGGACATTTAAAAAAATGTTTATCACATAAAAGAAATAAACAATTTGTTAAAAAAAACAATAATTTATATTATCTTATTATCCAAAATATCAATACCCACTGGAGTTAGGTTACTAAATGTTAGCTCCAAATTCTCTGGTAAAAATATCATCTACGAGTGTAATAGACAAGTAACTTGGAAACAAAGCTCACAAGGCTAATCAAAACACAATTGCGGATAATTGCTGGTTACAATGACCCTACTAAATATAGTTAGATTGGTATGCAAAGAAGCTGACATATTGTTTCACAAAGTAGCACGGTCATCGCGGTGCATGGTAAGAGGTACTTCATGAACTCAACTAAGGCGAGAATTAGTTTACACTACATCTGCTTTGCAAACTCTACCCGGTACAAACATTCATGCATTTTTTTAAACCTAACAAGCCGCTGGAAACTAATTAACATAATTTTTGGATGATAATAAATGATGTTAAAAGAAGACTTCTTGAAACACAAGTTAGTCAGCTAATATTTGATAAGAAATGTAAATTGGCTCTGAAAGCTGGCTATGAAATTCACATTGTTTTAATTATGTTTTTTATTTCTACAAAATACTGAATACTTGGATCTTCCTGGTATATTTTAACATTTAAATAAACAAAAGCATGCAAGGAAATGTAGAAAGTAGCATCAGTAAATCAAAATTGTACAATTGTATTGGGAGACAAGATCGTGATTTTGAAATGGAAAATGAAAATATAATTATTATTTGAAAAAGTCCTCAAAAATAAAAACAAAAGAAGTCAATGGCTCGTTAACTGTGGACTGTTACGCACTGACTTGTATTGGGATAAATTAATCTCCTATTTTAATTGGCTCGTTGTAAGCAGTGCCTAACAAAGGACGATACCATAGAGTCAACAATATTAAAGATACGACACCCAAAGCAGTCTCTAGTTACAATTAATAAGATTTATTAAGTCTTAAGATAATTACAAAAGAAAAGAAAATATAATGACAATCTTCAACTTACAGTATGGTAGATCTTGTACCGGTACACAGTTAATACAGTTAGAATAATGTGCCAATGAATAATGATGAAGTGCGAAATAAACACATATAAGTATGAGCACACAAATACACAAGGAATAATACACGCCTCGTAAAGTTAATAATATCTATCTGAATCTCTGACCCCTCATCCGTGCCTGTCAATCCCTTATATAGGTCGCGTAAGCCCTGCCTTCCAGAAAGACTAATGACGTTTCTAGAACAATCACATTCATTCTACAAAATACCAGGAAGACAGTCTAACATGTTTAATTGGTAAACACGGTTGTAAACAAGATACTTCAAACGAATAGGCCACGCCCACAACAGACGTTACTGTCTGCTAGGATTCTAATTTAGGTCAAATAAAATTCAAGCACGGACAATGTATGCTACATAACATGGACCCTTTGATAGTGCTCCAAGAAAAAGTTTATTCTTACTTTCCTATTATACCCCAACCCCGCGTGTAGACTTTGACGACCTCAATTTTGGTTCACTGCAGAGTGTTATCGCAGAGTTACCTCCCTTATTAAAGAAAACTAACATTATGGCACAGGGCGCTGACTCCCTCCCCACTATCGCCATCGACGACTACGACTTTGATACTGTTGACAGATTCACATATCTGGGATCCAACATATCGAGCACCCTCTCAATGGAAAATGAGATAATTGGGAGGATAGGGAAGGCCGCAACTGTTATGGCCAGACTGAAGAAAAGAGTCTGGTCAAACGCCAAACTAATATCAAGAACTAACTAAGCTGCAGGTGTACCAGGCCTGCGTACTGAGCACACTTCTGTATGGATGCGAGTCGTGGACCACATACTCTAAACACGAAAGAAGGCTCAATGGCTTCCACCTCAGATGCCTGCACCACATCCTTGACATTAAATGGCAAGACAAAGTCCCCAACACGGATGTCCTGTCCCAAACAAACATGTGTAGCGTCCCAGCCATGTTAATCCAAAGACGCCTCCGCTGGCTTGGACACGTCAAGCGAATGCAATCTGGTCGCATACCAAAGGACGTGCTATACAGCGAGCTGGCGACAGGGAAAAGGTCAGTTGGACGGCCTCGTCTGAGATACTTAGACATATGCAAAAGAGACATGAAGTCCTCTAACATCGACATCTCAAACTGGGAGGAGTTGGCAGAGGATCGATCCTCATGGCGGGGCATCGTGAAGGCAGGATCACTACATGCCGAGGATCAAAACAGGGCGGAAACAGCTGCAAAAAGAGCGAGGAGGAAGGCCGGTAAATACTGCTCCACCGCATTCGTGTGTGGGAAATGTAACAGAGACTGCCATTCGAGGATTGGTCTCACCAGCCACACCAAGAGCTGCAAGCACTAAAGATAATCTATCGTCTCCTGCAGACGGAAAGATGCCATACATACATACATAAATTCTTTACTGTGTGACACTAGATTCTTTACTGTGTGACTATAAATTCTTTCATGTGTGACACTAGATTCTTTACTGTGTGACTATAAATTCTTTAATGTGTGACACTAGATTCTTTACTGTGTGACTATAAATTCTTTACTGTGTGAAACTAGATTCTTTACTGTGTGACACTAGATTCTTTACTGTGTGACTATAAATTCTTTAATGAGTGACACTAGATCTGCTTTGAACAACTAAGTCTTGATTTTGTTATAAATTTTAAGACTATCTTTAATATAAGTTTCTAAGTTAATACAAAGATTTCACTCAGCTGAGAAAAAATTTACAAGTTAATTAATCATCATTTATGAGATAACTGAACATCTAACAAATGCAAACATACAATGATATTATCAGGAAGTGAGAACTCTCTGTAACATTCCTCACTCGAAAATCTAAACTAAAAAAAACTTTTAACAATGTGGTGATTTTAAGATGGTGTTTTTTCTTCATTCGGTTTTCATTTCTTTTTTCTATTAACATCAATATCAATGTGACTAGATGAGTAAATTGAAAGGTTTTTAATCCTGTCCCCTTATTACTACAGACAACTTTAATGCAACTGGATCTGAGTGTCCAAAAACATAAAAAAAGAGGCAAAGAGTTCAAATCTATTATCTTACATTTGAATTGTAGAAACTATTGAAGCGTATCAATCTATTTTTTTTTTTGGTTCAGCTCCTTTTGTTACCATTTTTGTTAAAGCATGGAGATCTAGAATTTATAAAAGGAGCATTCTAATATAAACTATCTTTAAAACCAACACATATTAATAATAAAACAATTATGTCTTAAGTTTAGCCAAATCTCAATAAAGCAATCACATTTCCCAGTTTTTACCTTCTGTTTATTTCTGGCCCTTAAGTTTGAAGCTAATGTATTCACAAGCTCAGTTTTTGATGGCTTCCTGTTGTCCTCATCTGATTCTTCCCTTACAGATGTTTGTTGACATTCCTCCAACTCACGCTTTACACTGGGATAAACAACATCAACATTTTTTACTGTCACACTTTACAAATCTCTACACTAAATAAATATAGAAACTGAACTGGTCAAATTTTCCATTAACTTACTTTAATCTTTCATTAAATTTTAATATTCTTTCCTTGATATGCTTCATGTCCAATACAATCATTAATTTAACATTATAACGGCACCCATGTGGCACAATGGTAGCATATCTGCCTCACAATCAGAGTAGCATATCTGCCTCACATCCTGAAGGTAGCATATCTACCTCACATCCAGAGGGTAGCATATCTGCCTTGCATCCAGAGGGTAGCATATCTGCCTTGCATCCTGAATGTAGCATATCTGCCTCACATCCTGAAGGTAGCATGTCTGCCTCACATCCATAGGGTAGAAAATCTGCCTCACAATCAGAGGGTATCGTATATGCCTCACATCCAGAGGGTAGCATATCTGCCTCACATCCAGAGGGTAGCATATCTGCCTTGCATACAGAGGGTAGCATATCGGCCTCACAACCAGAGGGTAGCAAATCGGTCTCACAACCAGAAGATAGCATATCTGCCTCACATCCAGAGGGTAGCATATATGCCTCACATCCAGAAGGTAGCATATATGCCTCACATCCAAAGGGTAGCATATCTGCCTCACATCCAGAGGGTAGCATATCTGCCTCATAAACATAAGGTAGCAAGTTCCAACATGTCTGAACTGACCCCAACTATGGTCAAATAGGAAAATTGAATGGACGGCTTAACCACCAAGCTATTTTTGGCTAGAAGAGAAAACTGAGTTTTAAAATTGCCTTATCTTTGGACAAACAAACTCAGTATGGCCACTAAACAAAACAAAAAATAGCTTGGTGAACCACAACACGGTGCAATCCAACAATAGCTTGGTAAAGACACATTAGGCAATGCATTTGAAAAAAATGGTACTATGCAAAAATCTTTAAATGTACCAGGATAAAAAATACATATTTTGATGAGGACAGAGATTTAAAAACCTGCCCGAACAACTTTAGTATTACCCCTGAAGTTGATGTTTGCTATCAGCAAATTCACAACTTTAGTATTACCTCTGAAGCTGATGTTTGCAATCAGCAAGTTCCATTCTGTGATGTGAAGCCTCTTGTTGAATGGTCACCAACTGTGACATGAGTTTACTAGGCAGGAAAGAAACATCATTCAGGTAATCAGTTACGTAGTGTTATCTTATGATTAATGTGACATCAATCAAACAAGAAAATTTCACCAAGCCTGAGTTAAGTTGTAAGCTGTGAGAACTCACCTTTTCTCCTGTACCAAGTCATCCCTTTGTGACATGACGGCGAGAAGATCTCTGTCTAGTTTCTCAATGTGAACGGTCTTATTCTGGACCTTCAGTGAACACGGAAAAAATATAGAACTAAAGCGGTTACTGGAAGCATTTCATTAATGACACACATCTTTTCCTATGCTGCATAATGGCCAAATATCTTCAACACTATTCTATGTGTGTCAATAAAATTTCTGAGACCCCCATCTCAGGATGCTATCCACAATTCAGACCTCTGTTAGGGCTCTCCGAAACCCCCCACCCCAAATATAATATAAAAGGGACTTATAAGACATTAGCACCCCAATATATATGAGGGGCTTGTTAAAAATCAGCATCCCAATTTACAAGGGGCCTGTCAAACATCAGCACCCCATCAAACGAGGGGTCCTTAAAACAACATTGACCCATCTCTAAGGGGCAATAATGGGTCCAGTAATAGGGAAGGTCACACTTGACTGGAAGCTCCATTACCTCGCCATGCACTGGGCAAGTGGCTATGTAAACATACAACCATTGTCTTACTTGGAAGGTTGAGTCTACATTAAACTATACTATCTTGTCATGTCAAATAGAACCATACGAGAAACATGTCATGACTTTTGTGTATTACATGTAAAGGTGAAGAATTAAATAAAATACAAGACAAGATTCTTCAATGGAGTATTTCTTTGGTTTATACAGCCACGTGCTCAGCAGAGATAACTAAATACAGTTTTGTAAAAATATTCTATCACAACTCCAGGTGAGAATTTACCTGAGATTTAAGGAGAGACAACTGTTTATCCGTCTCCCTTGACTCTTTGTTTTCACGCTGCAAGCTACGCAACTGGAATTCAAACTCTAAAATGCAAAAATATTTTATAACAACTCAAATTAAATAAGGCAACATTAAATAGGGACCTTCTGTGTCATAAACTTTCCTTTTGTGTTTGCAGATAAAAGATAAAGTTTGTATCTAGTTTCACAGAATGTTGAATAGAATAGTTTGTATCCAGTGTTGAATAGTTTGTATCCAGTGTTGAATAGTTTGTATCCAGTGTTGAATAGTTTATATCCAGTGTTGAATAGTTTGTATCCAGTGTTGAATAGTTTGTATCTAGTGTTGAATAGTTTGTATCCAGCACTGGAGTGTTTGTATCCATTGTTAGAGTGTTTGTATCCAGTATTGTATAGAATAGTTTGTATCCAGTGTTGAATAGTTTGTATCCAGTGTTGAATAGTTTGTATCCAGTGTTGAATAGTTTGTATCCAGCACTGGAGTGTTTGTATCCATTGTTAGAGTGTTTGTATCCAGTATTGTATAGAATAGTTTGTATCCAGTGTTGAATAGTTTGTATCCAGTGTTGAATAGTTTGTATCCAGTGTTGAATAGTTTGTATCCAGCACTGGAGTGTTTGTATCCATTGTTAGAGTGTTTGTATCCAGTATTGTATAGAATAGTTTGTATCCAGTGTTGAATAGTTTGCATCCAGTGTTGAATAGTTTGTATCCGGCATTAGAGTGTTTGTATCCAGTGTTGAATAGTTTGTATCCATTTTTGGAGTGTTTGTATCCAGTGTTGGAGAGAAATAAATGGAATTCTTTCATATGTTAGGTGTTATTTAGAGAACTTGATACTAAATGTTTCTAATGTTTTGGATAATCTTTCTAGACAAAGTATTACGATTGAAATGACTAGCAGCTACAGAATGCCTGGTGTCAAATAGTTGTAGTATTATAAGAGGGCATATCCATTAATTCTAGTCTACATTAACAAAATTGTTAAGTTAATGATCTAAGTCTACACACTGACCTTCTCTTTGTCCCAGTAAAGAGACTTTGAGTTCATGAATTGTAGCGTTATCTTGAGCTGCCTGGACACGAAGCAGGTCAACCTCTTCTTGAAGGGACATTCTCAAAGAGGCAATACTCAATATTAGTTAAATGGACTTTTGCATTACTGCAGTAACCCTAACCATTTTCTGCAGTAACCCTAACCATTTTCTGCAGTAACCCTAACCATTTTCTGCAGTAACCCTAACCATTTTCTGCAGTAACCCTAACCATTTTCTGCAGTAACCCTAACCATTACTGCAGTAACCCTAACCATTTTCTTACAGAAGTAAGAAGTAACCATAACCATGGTACTTTTTAAATTGTGTCAGTTTGAAGACAACTGTTTTTAACAAAGTTACCTAAATAAAATATTTTATCTCTGAACCTACTTGTCAATTTGAAGAGTTCTGTTTTCTGCCTTGAAGTAAGACAACTCATTCCAGACTTCATCACTGTTCTCTTTCTGCAGTGATCGTGGGTCTGCTCGCTTGATTTTCCTTTGTTTAGGTTTGCTAGAAAACAACAAGGAGAGACAAAACTGATTCAAGCAACAGAATGGCAAGGTTAGAGAGTAAAAAATAAATGAATGACATCAACATGCTATAATTAATTTGTACATAAGAATGTATAATATAATTGTAGATATCTCTAAGGTTAAACATAAGAGTTGGTCCATAGCTTTCAGGAATTACATTGATGGCTAATTTATCTTCATTCTTTTGAAATCTGGCTCTACGATATTAATAAATCTAAATATAAATTAATTTAGGTTTACTCTTTAACTTGCTTAACCCCATAATATACTTTACTCCATAACTTGATTTACTCTTTAACTTGCTTTACTCTCTAACTTGCTGTACTCTCTACCTCTTTTAAAACTGTCACTCACCAGCCAAACTCAAGGGTTTTGATCTGCTCTCTGGCCAACTTGTAACTGGCCTGCAGGTCCTGGAACCGATGAAGTCTGTTGTCATGTGCCCGTCTCAGTTCCTCCACTTGACGAGTCTTTTTGTACAAAAGTTCACAAACTTTATCAATGCAGAAAATTTCATCAACCTCTCCAAGACACACTGATATGTCAACTTCTCCAAGACACTCATAATTCAACCTCCCCAAGCCACACTCATAATTCAACCTCCCCAAAACATATGTATCAGTCAACCTTCCCAAGCCACACTCATAAGTCACAACCTTTTTTGTTGTTAAATTTCAAACTTACAAAGTAAAACTCATCATTCTGACTTATAAATTACGCGCAGACCAAACCTACTGTCACCCCAATATCATAACTTATCTTATACAACCATGACAGAATTTATAACAATTATATCTCCCCAACGCCATAGCTGTGACAAATATACCCAACAATTTATTTGTGACATATATCTCAAACAACATATATCCCCAACAACATAGCTGGAGTGTTTATCCCCAACCGTATAACTGTGACCTATGACCCCATAACCACATCTTTGAGTATTACCTTTGCCAACAACTCTTTCTGCAGCTGACCTACTTTCCTGACATCAAACGGTTCAAATCGTGGTTCACTCTCAACTGTTGGGGGTGACAACGACCTTGGCCTTGGAGTTTCACGACAACTTATATTTTTATCAAGTTCAGGGCTTCGATTCAGAGACCTGGCACAACACGTGATATTTAATGTCTATGAAACCCCAAAATCTCTCGCACATTAGAATAGTTAAAAAATTTAATATACACTCTACAGATATAACATTAAATACAAACTCTAAAGATATAAAATTAAATATAATCTCTAAAAATATAAAATTAAATGTAAACTGTAAAGATATAACATTAAATATGCCACTGCTTGCATGAAATGACACATTATTAGAAAGACTAGTTACCTCCCTCTTCCTCTTTTGGTGCCCATTTCTTTTGGAGGGATAGAATCCACTTCCTGTAAATAAATTTTTTCCAATACTTTATTTCTGTAATACAAGATTCTCTCTGACATTATTTATCAGTGTGAATTACTCTGTGGCCTCTGTCAATAGTTTTTAAATGAACATCTTGTTTGAGATAAACCATTCTTTTTACTGCACATAACATCCACTCTACCTTGACAATGTCCAGGAAACTTCCAGTATACTCAGGTTGTCTGGGACAAGTATTTCCCATTTGTTTGTTGATCATTTCCTGTGACTGCAGTGCGGAAATGATGTCATCTTTGTCCATCAGACTCTAAAACAGAATATTCATTTCTTCAACAATGGAGAAAAACTTCCTTTTGAGTAGATTCAAACACCATGGTTTTAAACAGACTTTACTTTTCAGGTTAAAATTGTATACAAACTCACGCAAATATTTAAAAATTGCTCAAAAGTTGAAAATATTATGTATACATATACAATTTAAATATTTAAATGTATACTTCCTGATCTGACTTTGATAAAAAATATATTATTAGTCTGGGTCTAAATTCTAAAAAAAAACAAAAAAATTTAAGAAATATTGTATACACAAAGCTTAGGCAAAGGAACAGCTGTTGAATATCAATAATAAGGAAAATATAAACTGAATTGGGTGCTGGGTGGCAGAGCAGTCTAAACTGAATTGGGCGCTGGGTGGCAGAGCAGTCTCAACTGAATCAGCTTGTCATCCTAAAGAAAAATCCCAGGCCTTGTGATTTCATCCTGCAAAGTCTACACCATCGTCACCTTGTGACGTCTACACCATCGTCACATTGTGAGGTCTACACCATCGTCACATTGTGAGGTCTACACCATCGTCACAATGTGAGGTCTACACCATCATCACATTGTGATGGACAGATGCCAGCAAAAAGAAACTGAATAAACAGATGACATATATTTTCAGAATCAATTAACATGGCCAACAAATCTAGAGAAAATATAGAGGGTCCAGCTAAAACGTAGAACACTGCTTCATGCAAGGATATATCATTAAGAAATGTCTGGTTTCATAAAAATCTGGATGCGATCAATGCCGTTCTCACCTTTTTCAGCTCCAACACTTGTTGTCTTAGGTCGGATTCCATCCGTTTGGCTGCCTCGTATCTAGTATTGACATCTGTAAACATCTGTTAAAATAACACAACATTTGTAAACATACATTAGAAGATCATGACGTCAACTTGAGTTTGTCAATAACTTCAGGCACTGAATCGCTGCACAGTTTGAAAAATCATTGACTTCAAATTTGAGAAGTAAGCAAGAAGTTTTGTGTTACAACAGACTTTACTGGTAAAAGTAAATAACATCTGCTGCAATTAATGGTGTAAAGATAAACTACATTCCTACCTACCTGTTGTAAGGATGTACTTTCTAAAGAAAAGGCATCCTCTTGGTTCTTTAACACTAGAACATAATGTCAATTTTATTAAATCTCATTGTTTTAAATGTCATTGAGTTAAATATTATTTTGTTAAAAATCATTGTTTTAAATATTATTTTAAATGTCATTGTGCTAAAAATCATTGTTTTTAATCTCATTGTTTTAAATATCATTGTTTTAAATGTCATTAAGTTAAACATCATTGTTTTAAATTTCATTGAGTTAAATATTATTGTTTTAAATGTCATTGTGTTAAAAATCAATAATATTTAACTCAATGATTTAAAACAATGTTTAAAATGTCATTGAGTTAAATATCATTGTTTTAAATCTCACTGTGTTAAAATGCCTGATGAAAAAATCAGTTTTCCTAGTATTATCTCTGGTCATATAACAACATTTCAATTTTGTGTGGATTTTTTTCAATTAAATTACACACAAGAAAATTTTCAATTTAATCATTCAGATGTTAAAAAACTTTTTTACCATTTCAATTAAATGTTCAAATAAATATGTACTTTTATAATAATAAATACATATTTTCATATAGCGTAACATGTCTTTAGTGTTAATTAATAAATTATTGAATTGTTAAGACATATAACAACAATGAATATGTAACTTGGTTATTGTTATTAATGTCTAGATGACAGCCGACGTATAAGACTGGTCATAACCAGTGTCAACCCACTTTTCTGGGTGTCTTGTTGTAAGGACTGTAGCTGTCGGATGAGGTCAGCCTGTTGTCCAGAATGTTCTGTCAGCTGATTGTGCGCATGCCACAACTCTTTCAGTTCTTTCCTGGCAATATCAGGTCATAAAACCATGATTAAATGAGATGCCAAACATGTCACACGACCAACATACAGCAAGGGAGAAACTTTCATAACCAATAAATTCCTATTACACTAATATTACACATTGCTATTGTACACTCCAAAATTATACTCACATTACACATTAGTCTTGTACACCCAAATTACACTAATATTACACTTTACTATTGTACACCCAACAATTCTACCAGTCTATATATTGCAACAACTGAAATAACCATTCACATCTCTGAGTACCAAGTACCTGACATTCTCCAATTCTTGGTTTTTAAACTCCAAGTCTCTTCTTTGCTGAGATGTTTGTGCCTCGTAACGTGTCAGTCGGGTAGATGAGTCTTCAACCTTAACAAAAATATATGTTAAAGCCATCATGTTATTATGCTAATCATTCATTTTAGGATATAAACCATTATCTCTTGTAAACATTGGAAGATTGGATATAGCTTTTTGTGGGTCATCTTTAAGACATTGTGTGCAACAATTACAAACAGGGACAGACTTTCAATAGAATAGATTTACACAAGAATGGACCCACATAATGATGAAATGGTGGGATGATTTGATGGTGATAATGAAATCATGGTGGTGATGATGAGTGGTGTGATGACATGGTGATGTGATGATATGGGGTGGTGATGATATGGGGTGGTGATGATATGGGGAGGTGATGATATGGGGTGTGATGATATGGGGTGGTGATGACATGGGGAGGTGATGATATGGTGGTAGTGATGACATGGTGGTGGTGATGATATGTGGTGTTGACGACATAATGGTGGTGATGATACTGCGATGTGATGATATGGTAATAGTGATATGATATGGTGGTGGTGATGATATAGTGTGTGATGATATGATGATGTGATGACATGTGGGTAGTGATGATATGGTGGTGGTTTTATTGTGGTGGTGATGATATGGGAGTAGCGATGATATGGTGGTGGTGATGATATGGTGGGTGTGATGATATGGTGGGTGTGATGATATGATGGTAATAATATGGTGGTAATGACATGGTGGGGGTGATGACATGTGGGTAGTGGGGGTGATGACATGTGGTTAGTGATGATATGGTGATGAGATGAGATGGGGGTACAAAGAGGTCCTAAAAATTTTGACATAAGACACAAAGGATGAACAGATTTTCAAGTTTTAAGCATTAATATAAAAATAGAAACGTTACATCTCTTTAATGCAGTTATGTCAAAAATGTGTAAATATGGGTTGCATCTGGCTATAAGCCAGTTTGACAATAAGGGCTTAAAGAAGTTAGACATTGCAATAAATATTCTACTCAAGAATTGTGGGAACTTGAATGGAATGCTGGTTTACGTGACCAACTGTGTTGAAAATGTTACATTCTCCGGTAAGGGATGAGCTTATGCTCTAACTAATAGCCCTGGCCAGTTTATCAGCGTCTTGTCTCATCGGTTGGGCATCAGTCGTAAATTAGATTATCAAAACATGTTCGATGTTCAGACCCCCTGCTCCCATGCCATTGCCAGGTCACCAGGTGGTTCACCGTTTCGTTGGCATGGCCACATAATCTGCAGTTGGGATCCCTTCTTGAGCCCAGTGGGTTGAGGTAACAGCGTCACATGCAGTGGCCCGTTCTAATCTGTGTACCTAGGCTTTTCTCTTGCCTCCTGAGTTTCCATCACGGTTCACTTTTGCTTGGTCGCTGCATTTTCCGGTGGAGCTGCCGTCCAGTACACCCTGTTGCCCAGCCACTTTGCCACTCCTCGCAGAAGTGGTCTTTCAGTAATGGTTTGCATCTCAGCTGAGTCATTGGCTTATCGGGTTGGGACTGGGCAGCACTTCTCGCACAAGGTTATCGGACCGGTCGTGCTGCGTCACCTCAAAGTGCCCCGGGATATACTGCAAATAGACCTTGCCGCCTTTGGCATGCATGCCACCTACTGTCTCCAGAATGGCGTTTACCACAGTGGTCTCCGTCAAGACTTTTTCCTTGCTTTCAAGAGCAAAGCGTGATCAGTGAAGACCACAATGTCGGGGAAGTTTTTCCTCTTCACTAGGCGTTGGTTCACTCTCATAAGGGCCACCAGTATTGCTTCTAGTTTTGAGGTTGAAGCTGGTTCTGCTCTTTCCACTGGGTCCTGACAACTCCTCGGGTGGGGGTACCTCTCCTGGGTAATGGATCAGTGTGCGTAGCCACTGCGATTTGCGTGGCAAAGCATGAACCGTCCGTAAACTCTTTTACTATTTCGTTCAGGTAGGTCTCAATCGTTCCAAGTGCTTCCTCCCTTAGTTCTGCTTGACAGTTGGCCTTCGTGACCCCCCCGTACCGGGATTGTTAGCACTTTTTCCATGTTTTTGCACAAGGGTAGATCTCCCTCTAGATCACTGACTGCGTCCATCAAGGAGGGTCGCTTCAATCTTGTCCTCTTAACCCAACTGTCTTGTATAAAAAAACAGGGTTAGTGTCTGCCCATACGACGGTTCTTCATCTGCTAAATAATTCTACTGCGGCCACTGAGGTAGTGCGCAATGCCCCATACACGAATATTAGAGCCTGATTCTGTATGCGGTCCAATCCCTCTAGAGCCGTTCGAGAGGCTGCAGACCTTTGCAACTCCCACACTCCCGTCATAAAGAGCTCTCAGAAGTCTTGCATCCGCCCCACCAGCCCGTGCAGGCTTTTTCACCAGGTTGAGTTTAGTATTGGCTTTAGGCATAGTTTTTCGTGTATGTGGATGTGCAGCTGGAGTTTTTGGTCCATTTTCATCCCTAAAAACACTGGTGTCCCATCCCATTTTAGTGCCTTTCCACAAATGTTTAGTTTGATCTCGTGTTTTAGTGCATTCCGCCCATTTGTGAATATGGAGTGAATATGAAATGCCATGTCTTAACGGGAGGTCAATATCAATAGACATCAGAAACTAGATTGTAAAATTCAATGGAAAGGTTGATCTAAGCCATTCTATAAGCAACTGACGTTCAAACTTTTACGACTGGGATTTGTATAAAAATGACTTTGCTCGTGGCGGTTTTACAAATATATATGGAAAAAATAATACTTTTCAGAAATAGTTCTTCTTGAAATTCTGATCAACAGGACGTCACATGACAACCTTGGCAGGGGAAGTTACTGCTTGAACGTTACAGACTTTTGTTTATGTTTACTGAATGTTGCCTTACCTCCCTTACAAGGTCTTGGAATTTTCCCATTTTATCAGACACTTCTCTCTCCAGGGTCTGAGATAAAACAAGGATCAATAAATCTACAACACAAGTCAATGATTTCACATGGGGAAAACTAGACTAAGTTTTAGAATTATGAATTGATAAAAACAGTTCATTTCATACTTGAACTTCCTACGGATCTCCCCACATATACACCCAAATATACATTGCCACAAATGCACACCTAAAACATGCAATGCCACCAAATACATATAAACACAAACATTGCCACCAAATACACACCTAACACAAACATTGCCACCAAATACACATCCAATACATACATTGCCACCAAATACACACCTAACACATACATTGCCACCAAATACACACCAAACACATACATTACCACCAAACACACACCTAACACATTGCTACCAAATACACATCCAACACATACATTGTTACCAAATACATATCCAACACATACATTACCACCAAATACACACCCAACACATACATTGCCACCCTATATACATCCAACACATACATTGTTACCAAATACATATCCAACACACACATTGCCACCAAATACACATCCAACACATACATTGACACCTTATACACATCAACACATACATTGTTACCAAATACATATCCAACACACACATTGCCACCAAATACACATCCAACACATACATTGACACCTTATACACATCAACACATACATTGTTACCAAATACATATCCCACACACACATTGCCACCACATACACACCAAACACATACATTACCACCAAACACACACCTAACACATTGCCACCAAATACATATCCAACACATACATTGCCGCCATACAATAAGTTTCCTCCCACATACTTCCGTCCTGACACTCTTATCCCCAATTCCCTCCCCTCCCTTAATACTCCCCTCCACACATCCTCTCCTCCCCACACACACCACAAACTGACTCACATATAACTTACTCTGATTCTCTCCTCCAGTATTTTCTGTCTGTTCAAAGCATGCATTTTTTCTGACTTAGCGACATCGAGGTCAGAGGTCAACCTGGACACTTTGCGGCTCAACTCTGAACAAACAGAAACATTTCAAAGTTGATATTTACAATATATATCTAAAGATATAAAACTCAACTGTATGTATGTTGTATGTTTGTGTGTTGTGTGTGTTGTGTGTGTGTGTCGGGTGTTTTTGTGTGTTAGGTGTGTTCTGTGTTCATTCAGTTGTGCAATTTCATACTAGGGATCGAAAATAACATGCACAGAATCTTTTATTTTTTGTATCATTAACAACGTGTGTTGCATGAAAAACAAAACATCTTTTGTTATCAATATTACAATAACATCAATGTATCCAGGTAACTCAGGGCGTCTAATGAAAAACTCTTCATAAAGGGGAGAGACTCGTGAATATGAAAAAATAGTCTTAAAAAATAGACAGGGCGTGGCTGCCTTTGAACACATCCATTCCAATTTTGTTTTATTCAAGGTTAGGCTTGAAGCAGGGGGCTTCAAACAAGGTTTACAAAAGTTAGGATAAATGTGTTTTTAATCATTTTTCTTCTATAGCATTTTTTTTTTGTTTGTTTGTTTGTTTTTTGTTTTTTTTTGTTTTTTTTTTTGTGACGCTTAAGTTCAATGTTAATTAAAGGGATTGAAGCAGGGGGCTTCAAACAAGGTTTACAAAAGTTAGGATAAATGTGTTTTTAATCATTTTTCTTCTATAGCATTTTTTTTTTGTTTGTTTGTTTGTTTTTTGTTTTTTTTTGTTTTTTTTTTTTGTGACGCTTAAGTTCAATGTTAATTAAAGGGCTGGAGATGTTGTGTTGGGTTGTTTTGTTTTTTCGAGTGCAATCCCGGGGAAACGACGGATAATGTTGGGATACATGCCACTGGAATAGTCTAGGATCGACACTGTCGATAATGCCTGTCTACAACCTAGGATAACTACTAAGTTATAAATCTCACCAGGAGAGGTGTTATTTAAAAATCTAAGGTGCCAGCCCCACAAGGTGGGTTCCTGATGAGGAGGCGAACCCTTGGGCCCCACAAGGTGCGTTACTGATGAGGAGGCGAACCCTTGGGCCTCATGCCTAGTGGTCCGCCAAAGAACATAAAGTGGTATACCGTTAGCGCTGCATCAGTAACATTGGACGTTGGAGCAACAGTCCCCAGTAAATACTTGCCATATTTTTCCTTTTCACTGCCTTCAACTGTCCTCCTGAAGGTGTCTTCCAGGTGCTTCTCCTTATTGACATCACTGCGCACCTGGGAACACAGGTGAACATGCATCATTTAACATATCCTTGCCTTATCCTTTTTAAGGTCATTCCATAAACAAATAAATTGTATGCGAATATTTTTGAAAGATATAGAATCCTTGACACTTCCCTTGACATAGCAAGGTATGAACCATAGAGATCTAGACCAGACTATAAGGTCAGATATGACCCATAGAGATCTAGACCAGACTATAAGGACATATATGAATTATAGAGATCTAGAACAGACTATAAAGACAGATATGAACCATAGAGATCTAGACCAGACTATAAGGACAGATATGACCCAAAGATATCTAGACCAGACTGTCACAGAACGGTTGTTACGGAGGAGGGCTCCGGTCCTGACTTAACACAAACTATGTTGACTTAGTAGTGGTCAGTACAGGACCGCTCCTCTCTGTGATTTATATGGTGGGTGTCTAGGCGTTGAGACAGACAAAAGCACAACGTAGACTTGGACGAAATGCAACAACTCAAACTCCTGGTGTCCAACGATAATGAAAGTGTGTTTATTTGTAAGATATACGTTTCTTCTATCATCTGTCGTCTTCTGGTCTCTAGCAAGTATTCCCTAACAACTGTTCAGTTCTATCGTAGCTCTTTTCTCCCTCTTCCTCAACTAATCCGTAGTTCTTCTCTATCTTCCTCAACTAACTACTGTCGCTCCTTTCCCTCTTCCTCAACTACGTCGTACCTCTGTTCACTCTCCCTCAACTCACTTAACTCAGTGAAAGCTCCCTCTTATATGTGGTTCTCTACCCCCCATAGGTGGTCCAGGAATGCTATCTATAAACACACCCATGCCCTCTAATTTCCGGTCAATTAGACCTTCCCATTGTTAACCCAGAAATTATCATGCGAAGTCTGGAAAACCCGAACATACTATTATCCAAAGAAACAATCCCCCACTATATCAAGATGTGAGAGTCTATTAACCTTAACTTAACCCCATTAACAGCAGTTTCCTTCCATCCTATAAGTTACCTAAACAACAATGGAGCTCTGTCCTGTACCCCCGCCCCAGTCATTTGTGACATATGCCCCCCCTTCAAGAAATTTTTCAAAATATTGACAAATTTCAAAAACTCCACAAATGACCAACCTACAACTCTACACATCACACCATCCCATGCGTCAAGCCCTTACTCTGTGCGTCGTCGAGTCTATTGTCATCTATCCTCATCTTCAGTTTTTCAAACAAAATTAAAAATAGCAACACACAACATCATGCATATGTCAATAGTAATTAACGAAATCAATAATTGACCATAACAACATGAACATTGTAACTTAAAAGACTAAACAAAATACGTATCCAAACATTTTGATCTCTCATTAAACTATCTCAATCTCAGAACAAAGTGTGTCTAACACGATAACTTATACTACTATCATACCAGCAATTAGACTTATACCTTAAGTCTTAATCTCCTTCTCTGATCCCATGACCCACTGATCGGGTTGAATGATACCCACTTCTAACTCACATACATAGTGCAAACCATAGATGCCCTACCCATGCTACCCCACACATTACCCAGTGTGGGCAATAGCTGATCCAACCGTGCTACCCCACACATTACCCAGTGTGGGAAATAGCTGACCTAACCATGCTGTCCGACACATTACCCAGTGTAGGCTACAGCTGACCATCTCAAGCTACTCTACACATTACCCAGTGCAGGTTATAGCTTCCATCCCACGCTATTCTACGCATTATGTAATGAAGGCTTACCATTCACCTAATGCTATCCAAAACCTAACTCTTCATCTAGTGCTGTCATCACACTTCCCTAAGAGTAGACCGCTAACTATCTAATGCTGTCTCACCATCACTAAGTGTAGAACAGCCATACAACTATTACTATCAAATTATGAACCCAACAACACTAATAACCATTATCTTTGACACTCTACAGTCTACACATCGTCTACACCGCAAACCATCATGTGCCCTGCACGGTCTGTTATAGACGAGTACCCGTAATGTCCATAACAAACATCTCTGCCGTTATGACATCACTAACCAACAGAACTAGATCTAAACTCTAATCCACACACACTGCCATTATCAAGGCCCAGTGTGCCCTGTCCTTAAGACATGACCTCTTACTGCCCACCTGGCTTCTTAACAATAGCCCAGGGGCAGCTACTCGCTCATATTATTAATCAAGCATAATGTTTAACCCTAACCACAACTGTTAAAACACATGATTACACTCATCACTAGCATTACTTTAACTACACAAGTTTAAAAAAAAATGCACGTGTGAAACTCAAATAAAGATAACACAGCTAAATTAACTAAATTTACTAGTGTCTTAAAAACAAGTCTAACGTCTCTTTGAGGAAGCCTCCTTGATGACGATATGGAGATTATCCTCACACTGAACTAAACACTTTTTAACTGTTTATCTGTGCCACCTTCAGATATGCACCGCTCACATCCTAACAGTATGAGTGCTAAAGAACTTTCCCCACTATTATATCATAGACTATGTCGGGAATGCACACTACTTTAATATTTCCTGAAATATATGGGGTGCTGATCGTGACTATAGCCTTCTCTCCTTTTAGCCTTGCATCATTCAATAGAACAACCGTACATCTTTCTCCTGTCAACTTACTGTCATCAACTAAGTCTTTCCTAACCACTATATCACTACACAGATAATGTCTAAACACTTTAACCTTTTGGTCTTCAACTAACCCAAATACACTTTCCTTCACTCCGACACCAATAGAAATTCCTCCTATTAGAATTTCATCTTCACTATCATTTCCTTTTTCTTCTTCGTACTTAATTTTACGTGTGCTATTGTTATCCTTCTTTACTAAAGACTTCTCTCTCTTCTCTATA